TACAATCCACTCATAAAAGACGTTCATTGGCTGACATTCTCCAGAGATATCGCCCGTTGCTTGGTAACCAACCACCCGAGACGCAATAAAGGTTGACACCACCAAAGACATAAACACTTCCCCATGGCTGACATGATTCACCTATAAAAGATGCACCATAAACAATTGTCCAAACTCATCCAACAATACTTAGCAATCATAGCTGTGATCTTGTAAACTGCAAAGCACCAAAAGACAAGTAGCTCTCTGCAATGGTCCCTCTAAACAATAATGGTAGACGTTTCAGCAAAGGTCTCCAAAAAGCATGAGAGTCATACATACCTGAATCACGCAATCGTCACCCGCAGACTTGGGAACCAAATAGGCCATCAGGATGTAAAGTAATAATCAAAGCGCACAGCCAAAGGAACATCATTATACCGGTACTCTCCTGTGGATCGACGCGATGAAGTGCATCAATAGAGATACCATCTTCTCTCTAAAGGCAAGGAGATCAATAGCCGTAATATGATGGAGCCGTGCGAACAGAGGATGCATTTTTAAATCCCTAAGGCCGCAACATGAGTCGCACTGTCCCCGGGCACAACATGTAGAGCTCCACAGGAAAGTATAGCACAATGACGTCCTTGACGTGCAGCCTTGATAATAATAGTATCGCCGGAAGAGGTTCCGCCACTGTATGGTGTTTGGTAAGTCCACTTGAATCCAACCAATCCCACAATGAACCTCTTACCTTGTGGTATTCCTCAATAGCACCATTGCCTCAAATAAAACCGTATCTTCATGTCATCCATATTGTCTTGCTGCTGTTTCACTGTAAGGCTCGTTAATTGACAAGTTTTGCTTTGTACATCCAATTCCATCCATGCATACCATTGAGCCAACGTACGGCGTTCTTGCTTTGATATCAATGTCTTGTTGCTGCCAGAGGTACCATCATCCAACATGTTCAAGCTACAGTAAATGTAATGTAAGGTAACAAGTAAAACCAACCGACACGCTTTTGTTGTCAGCATACCCAAAAGAGGCAATGTGAAGACGTCTTGAGAACTCTCATTGTGGACAACTCGGTAAGGAAGGCACACGACGCCCTGAACCATGGTGATCGCAAGGAATTGCAACCAAATACACCATCCGAAGGCAATACAATAATCAACCTGCAGCGCCAAGGTATGCCACCATATGTACCATACTCTCATTGGATCCTGAAATTGGCATCATAAGAGATATCCACCT